TATTTTGGGGGAAATTTTAAATAAATTAAAATACAATTAAAATGAATAAATGTATAGAAATACACAACAAATTAATCAATTAAAATAAATAAAAAAGTAAATAAATACATAAACAAATGAAAGATAAATCAGCAGTAATGATTCATCATGATAACTATTTATATTAGTCTAAAAACATTTAGAATTTGTATATTATTCTAAATTTTGGTTTCTTGATGACTTTAAGTGAAGCAGGAATAAAACAAGATTCTGGGGAAAATTTCAATTCAATAATTGAAATGAATTGTATTAACTTCAAAAAAGAACTTAATGAATTAATTAATTAAAAAAAATAATTAATCAATTAATAAATAAAAAATTAAATGCACAAATTAATGGAATGAATCAATTAAAACAAATAAATAATTTTTAAAAAGTAAATAAACAAATGCATTAATAAATGAACAAATTGAATGAAAATTCAGCAGATTAATTAATGATAATTATTTTATGTTAATAATTTTAAATTAATAAAAAAATACATTAAAATAAATTAATCAAAGTAGGACTGCGCGATAAATTAATGAATTCATTAATTTAAAAAATAACTAATCAAATAATAAATACAAAATAAAAAAATGTAATGCACAAATTAATTGAATGAATCAACTAAAACAAATAAATCATTTAAAAAAGTAAATAAACAATTACATTAATAATTGAACAAATTGAATGAAAATTCAGCAGATTAATTAATGATAATTATTTTATGCTATTCTAAAACACTCCAAATTTCAAATTGAATAATTGAGATGTACTGTTAACTTCAATAAATTAATTAATTAAAATAAATACATTAAAATAAATAAATTGAAATAAGTTAATTGAAAAATACATTGACATTAACTAACAAACTGAATTTTTTTTTAATTAAAACTAAAAAAAAATTATTTAATAACTTTAAATAAATTAGAAAATACATTAAAATAAATTAATCAATCAAATTAGGGCTGGGCGATAAAACAATCATGATAATTATCGATATCGACTA